AAGCAACTGTTCTCAGCAGAAGAGGCTGAGATTGATCTAACACTTTTTCAATGTTTGCAGGGTCAAGTGTCTGAGGAGGAAAACAAAAGTTTGGTGGCCAGGCCCACTGAATTGGAAATAAGGGACAGTGCTTTTAACATGAATCCCAATAGCTCAGCAGGCCCTGATGGCTTTGGTGGAGGATTCTACCAAGCATGTTGGCCTGTTATCAAGAGTGATCTTTGCCAGGTGATTTTTGATTTTTTTGAAGGGAAAACTTTAACAAAAAACATGACTCACACAGCAATTGTATTATTGCAAAGTCCAGAACCCAGCCACTTTCTCTGATTATAGGCCAATTAGCCTTAGCAATTTTTGCAATAAGATAATTTCAAAAATATGGTTGTTAGACTGTCTTATGTGCTAGCTAGGTTTGTTGGCCCATATCAGGCTGGGTTTGTTAAGGGCAGGAATATAATTGATAACATCCTTTTAGCTCAAGAACTCTGCCATGGTATGAATGCATCCAATGTGGATGTGGTCCTAAAACTGGATATGGCAAAGGCATATGATAAGATGTCTTGGAAATGTGTATTTGCTGTACTTAGGAAGCTAGGTTTTTGTGAAAGATGGATAGATTTGGTTGATAGGAACATTAACAACATTTGGTACTCTTTCCTAGTGAATGGGAATCAATGTGTTTTTTTTTTTCCATTCCACTAGAGGTCTTAGGCAAGGGGATCCACTATCCCTGTCACGCCCCACTTCTAGGACATGACCCGGCCGTATCGTTACGTGAAGACCTGTAACAATACGAAGCCTAACCATACATACCTCTCAGAATCTTCATAATAACACTTGAATATACAATAATTCCACAACCCAAAATGAGAGAATATAATTGACTTGTTCTTCCCAAAAAGTCATCAAATCCACTATTAGATATTTACAATCAAGAGTAGTATGTCCAAAATGCATCACAAGCACCAAAGCCAAGCACAATGGTCTACCAAAATTACAAAGGGTCAATGGGAAAGTCTAAATAAACAAAAAATCCATGATAAGCTCCAAAACTAGGACTAAGTCTCCAAGTTTCAAAAGTCACCTTCGACACCCCACCACTTGTGCTCGTGCTATTCACATGTCCTTACTACTCTGAAACATGAGAAAATAAAATACAAATAATGAGCTAATGCCCAGTACGTGATACTCCTCTCAACCCCGGATCTAGTAACCCAGAAATAATACAAAAAGCTTTAGAGTAATAACTCGATCAAAACTCGATCTTTAAACTATATCGAAGTCATAATATACTCTCATCATACTATACACAAGCTCACAAAACAAGAAACTTTAGCTACATGGGCATCAATAATATTTCATAAAACAATACTTTCAAAAGCACAAACCATTCCTTAACATATGACCCATTGGCAACCTACAACTACCATTATATTCTGTGGCACATGTCATTATCGGTATAATGGTCCAAAAAGACTCGACGATTCGGAATGAGTCAGGCTCGACGATTCAGAATGAGCCGGATGGAACGTTCCAACAAATAATTCAAAAGACTCGACGATTCGGAATGAGTCAAGCTCGACGATTCGGATTGAGCAATTAGGAACGTTCCAAGCCGAACAGAACAAACAACAAAAATGTAGGTTGCCTCATGAGTTTGGTCAAACCTTCAAAATAATTCTTATAATCAAATAGCCCATTGTAGCAAAAATCAATTCCTTAAAGATCACATAACAAAGTTCATATTTCCAAAATAGATAATAAGTTCATCAAACTAAGAAATATGCAAGGTATAAACCATTCTCAAAATGATAATTTTCTTAGTGCATAACTCTTTAAACATCATAGACTAGTTCATAAAACTAAAATAATTTCAAAGGGATTGAAATGGCTTAGGTGGAAAGAACTCAAGTTAATAAGCATGTGGTTAGGATTTCAAATCTCACTTTAAACAAATAATCCATTTTATAAGGCATATATATAAAACAAACACACAGAATGCTAGCAGACAGAGTCGAACCCACGACTAACCCACCTGCACAGCAACAAAAACCATTCTGCCATCTCAACACTTATTAACAATTTCAGTCAGAAATTCTTAACATCTATCCGAAAACACAGTTTCAACGAACCCAAACACAATTTCAATTCAGACTTCAGCTTAGCATTTCAGACCCAAAAACATATCATAGTCTAAAATATTTTTAACTCATACTAACCCTAAAATGGGTATTCAAAATAGTGGAGATTATTCCATAATAAGTTATGGGTTTTACAAAATAAGGAGAGAAGAGCTAATCACTTACCTAAAACATCCAAATCTTAGCTATTTAGCTCGCCAAAATCCCCTTGTCAAAAATCCCTAATATTTTCAAAAATCAATCTTAGGGCTCAAATGATAAACCCAACTCAAAGAGTGAAATATGGAGGTCAAACTCACCTAGAATACTTCAATAGCTTTGAGATCTAAGCTTGAAGAAGATGGAGATCAAAGCTTCAAGGTTTTTCCCTTCCTCTATCTCTCTAGCCAATATTCTTTTTTTCTTCTTTCAAATGAGATGGTCTTCCAATATAAAAGGGATTCCTTAAGCTTTAAGGATAAAGAGGGGTAATTTAGTAAATTCATCCAATATCAATTTTAATAACCTTTGACTTGTTGACCTATTTTAATAACATAGGTATATTTTTATTTCTAAGATAGTGGGTATTACAATCTCCCCACCTTAAAATAAGTTTCGTCCTCGAAACTTACATACCATCAAACTTGAAGAGTTTAGGATATCTATCCATCATATCATCATCCTTTTCCATGTTGCTTTTCTTGGAGTATGATGTGAACATTGCACTTTAACAAATGGGATTACTCGGAACCGCAACACTTGTTCCTTCCGATCAATGATGCGAAGAGGTACTTTGTCATAAGTTAGGTTATCCCTGACTTGTAGTGGTTGATACTCTACCTACTCTTGAAATCCAAGACACAAGCTCGAAGCATATCCTCCGAGGTCAGAATAGTCCTCTCGTTTGCCCATCTATTTGTGGATGAAATGCAGTGCTTAATTTTAATTCAGTCCCCATGGCTCGTTATAAGCTTCTCCAAAATTTTGACACAAATCTAGAGTACAGGTCAGATACTATACTAACAGGTACACCGTGAAACCTTACAACTTCATTCACATACAACTTAGCTAGGTCTTCTTAATGGGTAGAAAAATGTGCAACCTTAGTGAGTCGATCCACAATAACCCAAATTGTATTTTTCCCATAATGACTGTTTGGTAATTCACTCACAAAATCCATAGATATATGTTCCCAATTCCAATGAGGTATCTCTAAGGATTTCAATAATCCTGTAGGTCTTTGGTGTTCAACTTTAACGCACTTGTTGACATACCATGTATCTAACCACAAAGTCAGCAATATCCCACTTCATACCACTTCACCAGAAATTATTTCTCATATCTCTATACATTTTGGTAGCACCTTGATGTACCAAGAAGTAAGACTGATAGGCTTCCTTTAAAATATCCTTCATTACCTCAACATCATTCGGAATGCATAGCCGGGACTTGAAATATAGGGATCCATCATCTTAAATAATGAACTCTTTTGGGTCACCCGCTTGATTTTTTTATTTTCCCGAATCTTAATCAACTTGGGCAACTTTAATGCGATCTAATAATACTGGTTTTGTAATCATAGTTGCCAATATCCCCCCTTGCTTATTTTGTAAAAAACCTCAACTTCTAAATCTTGAAAATCTTTCAACAATTGGGTTTGAGTAGTTACCACTATCACATTAACCGTGTGAAACTTACGACTTAGAGCACCAGCTACCATGTTAGCTTTACATGGATGATAATTAATAGTGAGGTTATATTCTTTTATTACCTCCAACCATCGTCATTGTCTCATGTTCATTTCCTTTTGGGTAAAGAGGTACTTCAAACTCTTGTGGTCCGTGAATATTTGACAAGATTTTCCATACAAATAGTGCCTCCATATTTTTAAAGAAAATACCACAGCTGTTAGTTCTAAGTCATGAGTGAGGTAATTAACTTCATGGGGCTTGAATTGTCGAGAGGCATAAGCTACCACCTTATCATTTTGCATCAACACACATCCTAATCCTCTTCTTGATGCAACACTATAAATAACAAATCCCCCTTCCCCGGATGGTAGGGCTAAGATAGGTGTACTAACCAATCTTTTCTTTAATTCTCAAAAGCACTTCTCACACTCCTCATCACATTCAAACTTTATACCTTTCCGAGTTAATCGAGTCAATGACATAGATATTAATGAGAAATCCTTCACAAATCTCATGTAATAACCTGCTAAACCTAGAAAACTCCTTACTTATGTAACATTAGTGGGTTTATGCCATTGTGTTATTGCTTCAACCTTAGTTGGGTTTAAAGAAATCCAGCCCCTAGAAATTACATGACCAAGAAAAGACATATCCTTAAGTCAAAATTCACATTCACTTAGCTTGGCATACAATTCCTTTTCCTTCAAGGTGTGCAAGAGGGTCCTCATATGTTGAGCATGCTCTTCCCCACTCTTTGAATATAGCAGAATGTCATCAATAAATACCACAACAAATTTGTCCAGAAATGACTTGAGGACCCTATTCATTAAATCCATAAAGAAAGTAGGAACATTAGGTAGCCCGAACGGCATCACCAAAAATTCATAATGGCCATACCAGGTCCTAAAAGTAGTCTTGGGTACATCACTAGCTTAAACCTTCAATTGATGGTACCCTAATTTCAAATCAATTTTTGAAATGTATTTAGCACCTTGAATTGGTCAAATAAATCATCTATGTGAGGTAGAGGATACTTGTTCTTGACAATAACTTTATTCAATTTCCAATAGTCAATACACAATCGCAAGCTACCATCCTTTTTCTTCACAAATAACACTAGTGCACCCCAAAAAGATACACTAGGTCTAATAAATCTCATATCAGGCAATTCTTGCAATTGCACCTTTAACTAACGTAGCTCAGACGGTGACATGCAATAAGGGGCCTTTGAGATTGGAGTAGTTCCGGGAACCTCTATTTTAAACTCAATTTCTCTATTTGGAGGTAATCCAATTAAATGCTCTAGGAACACATCCGAAAATTCCTTAACAATTGGGATATCATCTAACTCAACTTCTTTCGGGTGGGTATCCACATAAGTCAAGAAACCGCTACACCCTTTTCTCAATTCTTTCTTAGCCTTCAATGCATAAATTACTTTCAATGACACTTTCGACACCAACATTCCGCTCCTAAGAAAGTGTCTCAAAGTAAAGATAGATTGTCCAGGAATTTGAAATACCACCTTCCTACGAGCGCAGTCAATATAGGCATAGTTTTTTTTTTTTTTTTTTTTTTTTTTTGCCAGTCCAATCCTAATATCACATCAAAATCCTGCATATCTAGTCGAATTAAATCAATTGGCACATCACTCCCATTAAGTTGTAGATAACCATCTTGAAACCAAGTATCTGTCACCACAATTTTCCCCATAGGGGTATTAACATACAAAGGTGCGCTCAACTTCTTAGCTAGCAAATTTAAATTCTTTGCAAACTTTTCATAAGTAAAACAATGTGAAGAACCTGAATCACACAGCACATAAGCATTCACAACTATGTTCTGAATAGGCGACACATTTATCGACAACCTAACTTGACGAGTTCGACCACGAGTAGGAACACCCCTCCTAATCATAGTAACACAACACTCCCTAAATTCACAACAGAGAAGGAATTAACACATTAGCAAAAAAAAAAATGTTCAGGAAACCACATCCAAAACTCGCTCAAAGCCTAAACTTATCATCCGCTAGGTTAAAGCCTAACCTTGCAAAAATTCAAACTTAACTTCTTGACCAACTAAGGATTTAAACCTAGGCTCTGATACCACTGTGTCACGCCCCACTTCTAGGACATGACCCGGCCGTATCGTTACGTGAAGACCTGTAACAATACGAAGCCTAACCATACATACCTCTCAGAATCTTCATAATAACACTTGAATATATAATAATTCCACAACCCAAAATGAGAGAATATAATTGACTTGTTCTTCCCAAAAAGTCATCAAATCCACTATTAGATATTTACAATCAAGAGTAGTATGTCCAAAATGCATCACAAGCACCAAAGCCAAGCACAATGGTCTACCAAAATTACAAAGGGTCAATGGGAAAGTCTAAATAAACAAAAATCCATGATAAGCTCCAAAACTAGGACTAAGTCTCCAAGTTTCAAAAGTCACCTTCGACACCCCACCACTTGTGCTCGTGCTATTCACATGTCCTTACTACTCTGAAACATGAGAAAATAAAATACAAATAATGAGCTAATGCCCAGTACGTGATACTCCTCTCAACCCCGGATCTAGTAACCCAGAAATAATACAAAAAGCTTTAGAGTAATAACTCGATCAAAACTCGATCTTTAAACTATATCGAAGTCATAATATACTCTCATCATACTATACACAAGCTCACAAAACAAGAAACTTTAGCTACATGGGCATCAATAATATTTCATAAAACAATACTTTCAAAAGCACAAACCATTCCTTAACATATGACCCATTGGCAACCTACAACTACCATTATATTCTGTGGCACATGTCATTATCGGTATAATGGTCCAAAAAGACTCGACGATTCGGAATGAGTCAGGCTCGACGATTCAGAATGAGCCGGATGGAACGTTCCAACAAATAATTCAAAAGACTCGACGATTCGGAATGAGTCAAGCTCGACGATTCGGATTGAGCAATTAGGAACGTTCCAAGCCGAACAGAACAAACAACAAAAATGTAGGTTGCCTCATGAGTTTGGTCAAACCTTCAAAATAATTCTTATAATCAAATAGCCCATTGTAGCAAAAATCAATTCCTTAAAGATCACATAACAAAGTTCATATTTCCAAAATAGATAATAAGTTCATCAAACTAAGAAATATGCAAGGTATAAACCATTCTCAAAATGATAATTTTCTTAGTGCATAACTCTTTAAACATCATAGACTAGTTCATAAAACTAAAATAATTTCAAAGGGATTGAAATGGCTTAGGTGGAAAGAACTCAAGTTAATAAGCATGTGGTTAGGATTTCAAATCTCACTTTAAACAAATAATCCATTTTATAAGGCATATATATAAAACAAACACACAGAATGCTAGCAGACAGAGTCGAACCCACGACTAACCCACCTGCACAGCAACAAAAACCATTCTGCCATCTCAACACTTATTAACAATTTCAGTCAGAAATTCTTAACATCTATCCGAAAACACAGTTTCAACGAACCCAAACACAATTTCAATTCAGACTTCAGCTTAGCATTTCAGACCCAAAAACATATCATAGTCTAAAATATTTTTAACTCATACTAACCCTAAAATGGGTATTCAAAATAGTGGAGATTATTCCATAATAAGTTATGGGTTTTACAAAATAAGGAGAGAAGAGCTAATCACTTACCTAAAACATCCAAATCTTAGCTATTTAGCTCGCCAAAATCCCCTTGTCAAAAATCCCTAATATTTTCAAAAATCAATCTTAGGGCTCAAATGATAAACCCAACTCAAAGAGTGAAATATGGAGGTCAAACTCACCTAGAATACTTCAATAGCTTTGAGATCTAAGCTTGAAGAAGATGGAGATCAAAGCTTCAAGGTTTTTCCCTTCCTCTATCTCTCTAGCCAATATTCTTTTTTTCTTCTTTCAAATGAGATGGTCTTCCAATATAAAAGGGATTCCTTAAGCTTTAAGGATAAAGAGGGGTAATTTAGTAAATTCATCCAATATCAATTTTAATAACCTTTGACTTGTTGACCTATTTTAATAACATAGGTATATTTTTATTTCTAAGATAGTGGGTATTACAATCCCCAAGCCTCTTTATCTTGGCTGTTGAATTGTTATCTGCTATGCTGTGTAAAAATGATAATTACTTATTCTCAAATATCAGGTGGCCCTTCTGTGAGCCACCTATCCTTTGCTGATGATGTTATCATCTTCACATGTGGGAAGGGGGAAGCTTTGGAAAAAACAATGAGAACCCTAGAAGCCTATGAGAGTCAGTCAGGACAACTTGTGAATAAACAAAAGAGTGGTTTCTATGTACATGATGGGGTAGGGGGTGGGCTGTTAACAAAATTGAGAAAGTAACAAAATGCAAGCACAAAAATTTTCCTTTTACATACCTAGGATGCCCAATTTATAGAGGAAGGACAAGAGTGAGTTTGTTTGCTTCTCTTGTGGAGAAAATTGCAACTAAGTGCAGGGGGTGGCATAGTAAACTGCTCTTTTAAGGGGGAAAGTCTGTCTTGATCAAATCTGTCTTGCATGGAATGCCTATTCATATATTCTCAGCCATGGATCCACCAAAAGCTGTCATAAAACAAATAGAGAAAATCCTGGCAGATTTCTTGTGGGGCAGTTCAGAAGGAAGGTTGAAGTATCACTGGAGTTCCTGGGAATCAATGGCAAAAACAACAGAAAGTGGAGGGGTAGGGTTCACTAGTGTGAGAGATATGGTGGCTGCATCTACAACTAAACTATGGTGCCACTTTAGAACTGATGACACACTATGGAGAAAATACTTGGAAGCACAATACTGTACAGGGTCCCACCTAGTTTGTGGAACATGGCAGTACAAAGACTCCCATATTTGGAGGAGAATGGTTAGAGCTAGAGACAAGGTTGAAAAGGAGATTATCTGGAAAACTGGGAAAGTGGATGTCAACTTTTGGTGGGACAATTGGTCAGGTCTAGGAGCATTAGCTCTGGTCTTAAACATACATGGCAAAACAGGAGCAAAGGATAATCTGAAAGACTATTACAGGAATGGAAAGTGGGAGATCCCTAGTCTTGGTCCTGAAGTGCAAAATGTTGTACAGAGAATTAGGTTGAATGCAAACCTGTCAGACACCCCAAGATGGAGGCCTGAGAAAAATGGAAACTTTTCCTAGCTGCTGCCAAAAAGTTTGAAAGAGGGGTTAGGAGGGATAGAACAAGCAACTTACAATGGGCAAAGAAAATCTAGATTAAACATGTTCCATGGAAGATGGCCTTCCTGGCTTGGAGAGTGTTCAAGAGTAAAGTCCCTTTGGATGATGTCTTGGCTAGATTTGGCTACAACATTGTCTCAAAATGCAGTTGTTGTCATAATCCAAGTTGTTGCACTACTCAGCATGTTTTCTGCACAAGTGAGACAACTCAGGCAGTTTGGAACTTCTTTGCAAAATCTTTGGGAATTTCCTTAAGAATAAGAACCACTGAGCAAGTGTGTCATCAGTGGTGGGGAAAAAGGAAACATGCTGGAGAGGTATTTGATAGGAATCTAATAAATTCAAAACAACTATTCTACTTTTTATTATTTTCCAACTAATCCAAAATTTATTAATAATATGTACTACCACATGTCATTTATAAATCATTCATCAAACTACTATTCTATTTTTCACATCACTTCCCCACAATCAAACCTCTGCGGAGGCATACCCCCCCCCCCCCCCCCCCCCCCCCCCCCAATATTTGGTATTAGAGCTTATTACGATTCTGAGAGATTAAAATGATTCACTCATGTTTAGTATTTTGCATTTGGAAACTTAGAATATATGAATATAATTTTCAAATTTTTTTAGCAGACATGCAAGAATATTGTCATTTACAAAATTGGGAACAATATGAACACTCTTATAATAATTACGAATTTACACTTAGGAAAATTCTTGAAATGAAAAGTTATATTACAGAAATTTCGGCATGAATTTTTCTGAAAAAATTTCACATTTAAAATATTACCAAAAATTTTATAAAACTAGAGCATTAGAATCTAAATATGGTTAGACACCGAAGGGAAAAATTATGACCCAAATTCCCCTTTTTATAAAACAATAAAGAATACTTATGAATCTCACAAAGAAATTTTAGAAGAAATTGAAAATTGTATAGCAAAAATAATCTGTTAATATGAATCAGTCTAATGAAATAATTTTAAAACAAATAGATTATTTAAAAACTATGATGGAACAGCAAGAAAAGAAAATTTCAAATTTATTAAAATTAATTGAAAATTTTAACACAAAATTTGACTTAGTAATAAGAGAAAAACAAATAATTGAAAATCCAAAATTAATTGAGATAAATAATTCCATAGATTTGTTATCCAAAAAAAATTTCTAATATTCATATTTCTTCACAAATTAAATCCAAAACAAAAAAATTTTTGACATACAATTTAGAAGAAGTCAAAAAAAATTTAAATAAATGATGAATCCTTTTACAAGAAGGTCAAGAACATTAACTTTAGAAGAACCTAGTTCTTCTAGAATTAGCACATTAAACCAAACCAACAGTCCCTCTTATTTAAACAGACTTTTAAAATTAAACTCAAACAAAAGTTTCTATAAATTGGAACAAATTGTTGACACTGAAAGAGACTTAGAAATTATGTCAAATGATTACATTAATACATTAAGACCAAACATGTTATATAGAACTGGAGTTTTAGAAAATAATTTCAGTTTAATTAGAACATATAGATCCAAAATGTTAGAACTACCCGAAGGTAGGACTGAAACATTCAGATTATTAACAAATGAAAGTATAAATTAAATTTCTTCGAAAAATTTAAATTATATACATTTAGGATTAATTACAATTGGAGTTAGAGGACTAGTAATGAAACAAAGCGGGACAAAAG